GGTGGCCGAGACATGCCATCCCAACACTTGGTGGCACACCAGTATCAGCCTTGGCAGGATAAATCTCCCCAGACTTATCCAATGGCTGTGAACATTTAAAACTAACACGAGCCTCAATAAGTGTCCAGTTTTAGGGTCTTACACAGAATTATACCAATCAACATGAATCAAATATGCACTTTATTTATTTACACCAAATATCAAAAGTACATCAAATCGGATTGAAGCTAAGGGCATACAAAACTGTCTAACAGCAATGATGTAGAGTTTTATTCCCCTAGACCATTCAAGGTAGTTTAGTCCATCGAAGGGAATTACAGCAATGGGAAAATTAATATCCATTCCCCCATTCACTCCATTTTGGCTTCCTAAAACCCCCGAAGTAGCAGAATTCTCAGAGGATATGGTCAAAAAAGAATTTCAGTCTCAACACTCAACTTAGGATCCCTCCTTACACAAAAAAAAAAAAACATAGCTCCACACAAGTAATCAGTCCACACACACTTCGGTTTGGACTCAAATTAAGCACAAAACAGCACCAATTTCCAGAAAAAAAAAAAAAGGCAAGATCAAACTGATTTCAGACCTGTACAGGTTAACAGTCCCAACCTACCAACCTTCCAAAATGTCTAAGAACATTAACCATCAGGAGAGATCCTTAAACACTAATCATACCAAAAACTAGACATAACAGGTCATCTGTGACCTACAGTCACCTTTTCACAGGTACAGGATCACATGATCCAAGAAAAAAGAGGTATAAACCTCACAAAGGTTTGACAACATTCAACAGCCCAGATTCATTTGATTTTTCTCTTGGTACACGACCAAGAAAGGTAAAAGAGAAAAAAAAGGACTGTACCAGTTGTAGATCAATTTTGTTCAGCCCAGATTCAGTTCTCTGTTCCGCCCAGTTGACCTACCTAAGCACTCTCTTTCACTTCTCCAATGTTTTCTTTCTCCTTCACTGACCAAGCATCTACCAAGTATCACCAATGAAACAGGAAAAGGAGACATGCTCAAGCTCCCAATCATCTTGATCTTCAAATTCGAGCCATCATTTAAAACTCCTGTTTTTGCACTCTCCTCCAGTTTGTTTGAAACATTTTCTTGAACAAACCTAGTCACAACCCACTCCCACTTTCCAATCTCCACCCTTCATTTTCTCGAACAAACCTATTTGCAAATTGCATTAAGTTTAAGGTGGGAGAATGCGATAGAGTGAAGATGAATAGTGTGGGGCTGAGAAGTTGTGTAAATTATGTCCAAGAATATATCAGCGAAGTGACTTATCAATTATTTTTAATCAGAAACAATTAGACTATTTGCTGTCCAAATTTCCGACACCAATTACTAGACAGAGAGATTAAGGAATATGAATGTTGAGATAGATGAATGGGAAACTAAGGATAGGATAAAAAATGAACTCATTTGAAATTCTGGACTGTCCAATCTGTTCAAATTGGTTTTAATTTAACCTGGTTCCAACCCAAACCTGGTCCATTGACACCTGTATTCTTATTTTCTATCAATGGACTAGATATTGATTCAATCTGACCCAATCCAATATAAATCCATTATGGATGGACCAGGTCCAATCCAACCTAATGAATACTTTAGACCATTAAGTCTGCACTGGTCCAATTCAATATGTCCTATTAGTCCATCCAACCCGTCCAAATTGATTTTGATTTGGATGGGGTCCAATCCAAAATCAGTCCGTTGACACCCCTACATGTGGCTTTTGTCCCTTGACAGTATCCTCAGAGTGGATCATATAAAAAAGTAGGGGTTTCTATTTAGCAAGCCGATATGCTATGTGTGGAGAGCACAAGGTATCTGTTGTACACTTATTCATCAAATGCAAGTTAGCAGGATTTCTACGGAATTTCTTTGCAGGTCTTTTAAGAAAATCCAAACATGGATCCAATTCATCCAAAGGAATTTTTTTTTTTTTTAAGTTTCCTGAATATCAGGTAGCAAGAAGGCAAAAATTTTCTGGAGCTGTTCAACTCTATTTGTAATCTGTAGGGATATATGGAGAGCCAAGGGAAAGATCAGCGAAACAAGAAGAATTGAGGTTGAGAGAGAATGCAGAGAGGATGTTAGGACCATCCACACTCCTCCTAGCCGGGTCAAGCCAGCCAGTGAACAAGTAACGGCTGGACCTAATGCTGAATCCAGAATGAAGCCCCCCATCAAGAAGGTTTACATCCACAAGCCACGTTAGCCACGCTAGCCTAACGGTCCTCCAAATTAGTTATGCGAATCAGAGGCAGTTACAGCTTTTTGAATATTCTAGTTGTTATTCTGACAGTCCATTAAGATATGTAATGACCCCTCTCTATATATTTTCCATCTCTCATTAATGAAGGACAGATCGATTTTCCCCTGAAATCATTCCCTTCCCCCCTTCTCCCTTCTCAGGAGGACTGAACTTCTTTCAAAGAAAGCTCCTGTGTTGGGCAGGAACCCAACAGAGGACCTCAAATACCTTCATGACACCAATTTATATCCCCACCACATAGGCCAATTGCAACTTTCCAAATCCCAATTCCCACTATGAACACCAAAATGTGTTCCTCCTCTTTCTAAGAAGGTAACCATGAATGATTATGTTAGTGAGAGAAAGAAACATCTACATGAAAGGACAAACAATGATATATAAAAGGATATAAACAGACCATCCCAAACAAAGAAAAAACAAAGTTACAGGTGTGAGCTATTATACCAAAAGACTCCATACATCCAAACTTGCCAACTCTTCAGCAATCAAACTCAGATCTTTAGAAATTCTCAATTGGAGTTCACTGAAAGACCCAAGATATGTTTAAATCCTGGTTGATGAAAACTCCACAAAGTTTTTCCAAGGGAAATTCCATAAAGTTGTATCTTCATCTTCCCAACAGTATGTGGAAGAAACAGAACTCTAAGAAGTAGAGGAAACCATGACATGATTCCTCTGAAACATCATGGAAAATCTGTCTTATCAAATGCTCCTGTTGAGCTCCAATCAGTATCCATTACCATTTTTAAGGGCATACCTTGAAGAAAAGTTCAGCATAGGTACCAACATCTACAAATTCCTTATAGACTATAAGCTTTTCTTCCCTCTTTGCAGTATTAGAATGAAAAGGACAAGACTGTTAAAATCATATAATCAAGTAAAAATCCTGATGTAAATACCCCATTGCAAACCAATCAAATATTTGTCTCAATTTCCTGGAGCCTCTCCAGTAGCAACACTTTGCTGTTCTCCAACCCTCCCAAGTAACCTTGGATCCTTGGATTCCATTAAGAGGAACATTCTGAGAAATCATTTCAGTGTTTAGAACTGTAAGTTGGCAAGAAGAACACTAAAGATATCCAGAATAGCTTAAGCTAGCAATTATCTTAAGATTTCTACCTGGCCACGACCAAGACACTCCTTTGTCGGCTCTACAAGCTCATCCCCCGTGGACAGCACTGCAACAGTTGGATTTGGAAATACCTGTGGACAGAAGTATATGGCATAATTATGAATAATTTTTCCAAGCAATTTAAAGAGGGGATAACCATCAGGAATACCTTCACCAACATTACTCCCATTGTGGCAAGTAGGCCAACCTCAGAAGTGCCTATTCGTTCTCCAGACCTTAAGACTATGGCATCTTTCTCGATATCACACCCCTGACAATAATATGCAAAGCTTTAAAATTTATTACTAGGAAAAACAGAAATGACAATACACACACAAAAGTTAGCTTATTCATGGATTATGATGGTTTGCATGCAAACTGAAAAGCTGATGAGAAATCATCAATCAACAATCTAGGCTAAACTTTAAAATCTAATAGAAATTCGGATATTAGATTAATTTGTTTTCTTTTTTTTTTTCTATGGTTTGTAGAGTAACTGTATTTGAGGAAAAAGCAGAAATATAAGATATTGAGTTGAAACTGAGGTAGACCTGCCAAAGCCATTGTTACAAATTAAATAATGATCAATATGCAGATATGGTTTAAGTATGTCTTAATGCGTGTTGTGAGTCGTGTAATATTTCAAGGGTACAAAAACAATGTCCCTAAGCAACCAACTTGCTGAGCCACAATAACAGCTTATTACCGAAATCTCTTAGACGTTCTTTTTTCTTTCCTTTTTTTTCTTTTGAAGAAGGTGAAGTATTATATTGAAGATTAAACAAAAGTACATCAGCCCATGTACAAAGAGGACCTGTGCATTGGGAAATGGGAATATACAAGTTTCATCTAAAAAAAGGTTCAACTTGCATAAAAGAATTCAGTTGGACACCCTGAAATAACCTTTGTACACCCAGCCAAGAACATAGCAAGCCAAAAAGATTACTTCTGATTTCATCCATTTTTTTATCAATAACTGAAATGACTTCATTAAATAAAATTTAAGTACAACTGATTTCCTCCTTCAGGGAATCAATGTTTGGAAGACCCATTCATGCCATAGTACTATGGCAATATGAGCAGGAAAGCAGCCTACAAACACTAGATACTTGAAGTAATGCAACTAGGAGATAGACAAACACATCAAGAGTTTTGCATGTTTGAATTGTTCAGTGCTTAAAGCACTTTGATATGATCCACACATGTTTACTTTCACTTTCACTTCATATGAACTTTGGACCGGAAATAAACCAAGTGTCAGACACTTGAAGATTTGGGGTTGTCCAGCACACGTTAAAAGAACGAGTGCAGACAAGTTGGAATCCAAGATCAGCCGTTGCCTATTTGTAGGCTACCCAAGAGGCTCTGTAGGTTACCTATTCTAT